AAAAAAAAATCTTACTTACCACCATACTCAGTGCAAAAATAAATAAATAAATAAATACATTTTGCGTGCAACTATTCGTACTTCTTCACCTGTTCTACACTTAATAGTATTTCATTACCAACAAAGTGTAAACATGATGCAAATGAGAGCTTCATTTTGCAGAGTTGTCAGCAAATAAAGATACAAGATTTTGAAAGAGTGGTCGAAATTCTGTAATCAAGTAATAGTATGATAGGAGAAACCATATCTAAATTGTTTATAGAATTATATTTATAGAAATCATACAAGTTTCTCATTCTGTTTCTAACAGGGACAATTTGCACCATCTGCTGGACAGTTTTGTTATAGGCTACTAGATGTACGTATAATTAACAACATCCCATAATGTAAATGTCTGTTTTATTTGGATATTATTGTTGTTTTTATATAAAGGTTTATGTATATTTAATACTTTGTGTTTTTTAATTGTCTTTGAGTTATAGAGTTCCTCAACATACATACATGCATAGCCTACTAATTAAATCGCCAATCAGTGTGTGTTTGGACTTTTCTGAGCTTCTTCAACCTTGGTGTGTAATGTAAAAATGAAAAGTGTTGGTTGGATGTTAGATACATATCTAGAGCGGGGACATTTAATTATGAGCCACATTTTTGAACCGGAAGTACTCAGTTGTACTGTCTGTGTTCCTCAAGAAACTTGTTTGTTGTTTTAATTCGCGGTAAGTGTGACAGTTGTACATTTATTATCCACAATATAGATTTGATTATATGATTAATAGATATACTTAGAGAAGATAAGATAATGTGATTTCTCGATTTCAAAATGATCGATTAATAAATTATATTTATTATCTGTCATTTACTGTTGTGATCGTGACAGTGCGCTTTTATGAGACGGTTTATATAAAAATGAGAACAAGTATGTAAATACCAAGTACAGTAAAAGATTATAAACACAAAACGAGTCTTAAATAGTTTTGTTAACTGTTTGCCTCTCGAGTCAGTCTGTCATTATTATTTCACAGTTTTGTGGGAGTTTTTTTCTTTCTAAGCTTTCTTACTATTTCGCAATAATTTATCTTTTTTTCTGTGCAATACACTACCATAAGCCTGATGTTTTGTTCTTTTGTTTGCAGGAGTAATACAGCACCTGTGAAACAATGGGTTTGTATTGGACTTTTATTTATTTGGAAATAGGAAATTGTAATGTCTCAACCAGATGCTTTTAATGATTCCAACCTAATAACTTCGCTATTCATCCTTATTCCTAGTAAATTTACTCACATGCATGTGTCTGTTTAGCTTCCATTGCATGTTTCTTTTTTCCCTTAAGTGTCCAAATAACATTTTCCAGCAGATGTTGAAGACAGGACTTACGGTGGTTGTGAAGGCCCTGATGCCATGTATGTAAAGCTGATCTCTTCAGATGGCCATGAGTTTATTGTGAAGAGA